AAGAGAGACAGTCACAGGAGGGGCCGGTGCTGCTTTCCCGCTTCACTCCCAGCACCTCTTGCTTTTTATCTTTATTTTTAAAGAGGGAGACCATGGACTGAGCCGATGCACGCCATGGAGTCCCGGGTGTTACTGAGAACGTTCTGCGTGATCCTCGGGCTCGGAGCCGGTGAGTGGCCGCCAAGCTGGGCCGGGATGCTCCCCGCCTAGGGTTGCCGCCCCAAGACCCTCTGGATTGGGGAGCTCTGGAGGGCGCGGGTTTGTATTTGGGTCCCTTCTGTGCTTGTCCTGGGGATTGCGAGGCAGGTCACGCCCTTAGGGTCTGTGGCTGCTGGGGAACTTTGCACAGAGAGGGGCTTAAAGTAGGTCACAGAGATGGGACCAGGCGCTCTGCTATTTTAAGCTTGGCAGCGCGTCCAGGTAAGGCTCTCCGGGTGAAGGAAGGAATCTCCTGTTGTCAGCACTTCCCAATATTGTCTCCAAGATGCGTTCTTTGAGCCATGGAGGCTTGCGTTTTAATGGCCCCCTTTCTTTCTTTCTTTCTTTCCTACCCCTCCCCACTCCCACCAGTTTGGGGACTTGGTGTGGACCCGTCCCTACAGATTGACGTCTTAACAGAGTTAGAACTTGGGGAGTCCACGGCCGGAGTGCGCCAGGTCCCGGGACTGCATAATGGGACGAAAGCCTTCCTCTTCCAAGGTATGGCCCAGTGCAAAGCCCCCTGTGCGGTGGGAGGAGCTGGCCCAGAGGTTCTTGCTAACTTGCCTGCTGCACCCCGGCGGGATAGAGAGTGCCAGCTGGGGGCTAGAGTTCCCTGTGAGCCTAGGAACCGGATCTTTTAAACTGGGGTGCCTTTTCTCATTTCCCGCGCCCTCCTCCTCACTTGCTACACTTGGCGGTTCTAATGGATAGTGCCTTAATTACAGACTAGAAACTCCAGAGGCAGATGGGTGATTTGGGCATCTGGGGAACAATAAATTGTAACACAAACGCCTCATTTGGGCGGAATGGATTTGGTAAGGAAACAGGACAGCTCAATCTTGGTTAAGACACTGACCTCCCAAAGTTTCGGCGCTGTGGTACCCGCCGAGAGCAATTTCTTTACGCTATTTTTTATTGCTTATCACTGTACTTGAAGCAAGACTACCATGGAAAGCTCCTCATTACGCCTTCCGTACCAGTGGCGAGGGGAAAGGAATGATACTGTTAAGATTATTTTAAAAGCATTTCAATGGTATATTCACCCAGAAGCACATCCCACCCCCCATCACCATAATTGTATGGGTAGGATTTTAAAACTTTTTCTTTTGGAGTCTGTGGACATTGGCTATTTTTAAATGTTCATATTTCAAATCATATTTAAATATACTGTGCAGTCAAAACACAATTTCAGTAAAAAACAACCTGCAAATTGATCGAACGAAGCTTTTGAAGACTGGCTTGTGGGAACGTGTTTAGCTTGAGGAACATGTTAGCTTGAGGGTCTAAAAGGTGGCTCAACTGTTCATGGAGATGGTGAAGCACAGATGAAGGCTAGAGAGACAGGGTTTGGTTTCCTGTATCCGGAGGAACAAGACGTCCTCCCCCACTACACATGGGGTTTTCTTTTGCTATTGGAAGCAATGGCTTTAAAAGAAGTGGTGCAACTTATAATTACCGAAGCGTTGGCTATGCAAAATGCAACCAACCCAGCACAGCTGCCTTCAAGAAACAGACATAGGATGCAAGTTGGATGGTTCTGTGGTGGCGCTGTTGCTGCACATAAGCCAGCGTGTGTCACCATGGACAGCAGCTCCTAAGCTCTGTAGGGAAAGGGAGAAACTGACATGTGTTGCATTTATTTAAGACGATTTGTTTTTGTTTTTTATAAGAAATCAAGATGTAAGCTCTTTTTTTTTTTAAGGGAAAGGGAGAAACTGACATGTGTTGCATTTATTTAAGACGATTTGTTGTTTTTTTTTTTATAAGAAATCAAGATGTAAGCTCTTTTTTTTTAAAAAAAGAGGATCAGTTGAAGTTCTTAATTAGTGTTTTATTGTGACAAATGTTTATGATATTTTCTTTACTTTCAGATGCTTTGTGGAGGGTGGGGCTGGGATACTGAAAACAATGACCATATGTGATCATGGAAATAGAGCTCAATTGTCAGCAAAAATTCAGAGTTGAATTGAAATGCAATTAAGTGTAGGCTTTTCGCTTATACTATGTATTATTTCTGTCCTTGATTTTTAGTCTCTGGGGACTAAGCTATTTCAGGAACTGATGGGTTGAGTAACTAGGAAAAAACCAAGTTTCTAATAATCAAAACCTATTGAATTGTTCCGATAATCTCAAAGCTTCTATTATGTCTTCTTAGGGTCACTATCTTCCTATATAGAGTGTCCGTCTGTCACAAGCAACAAACTCCAGGAATGCACATTTTATGTGAGACAATTGGCCAATTAGACAATTTGACAGTTTCTAGGCAAAAGTCTCAGAGTATCAGTTTCTTTTTCTGGTTAGTTTAAAACAATATTTTATATAAGTAGTCAGCTTCTTCAAGGTATACATCATATTAAAAAAAACCTACAAGATTAATGTCCAATGGTATCTTTGAATTGTCCTCAGTTGGGGGAATGCCAGTGTTTACTGGTGGGTTTCTTTTGTTTCCTATCTAATAGCAAGATCAGTGCTAGAAAGAATAAATGCTTCACAAATATAGTTTTCATTCAAAGATGTGAAATTACATTTGCTGCCACAATACAAACATCACTTTGTGTATTAGTCTCTATTTACTGCTTGCTGTGTAAGGTATATGATATGTAATGATATGCTACTTATTGAGCTTTAGTAACTTACCTTACTGTAAGATTTTAATTCTGAAACCCACAACAACTAGACCTGTGACTGAGGGGTGGTTCTGTATGGTTCTGGAAATGTCTTTCCTCAGTTGCTAGGGGAGCAGCAGGTTTGTTAAGAAACCAGCCCTGCGTCATGGTGTTTCACTGGATTCCATGAGGTCTAGAGAGACAAAGGCATTCAGACTGTGAGGCATTTTGAAGTTCCATTTATAGTGAATTGAGAATGCTGCCAGTATTTTATATAGCATATAAAATGTCATAGCAGGAATAGAAACAAATTACAAAGCCTATGAGATGCTCCCAGATTTCATACAAACTTCATGTACAAGTTTTCTGTGCTAACAGATATGTGCCAAATAAGTGATTTCTGAACCATCAATTGCTTATGCAACACATAACAAAACTACTTTCCTGTCTCTTCATTTTAGAATAAGAAATCTCAAACTATGTTTACCACATGGCTTTTACTTAATTAACATTTTCATTTTTTTTGCTACTTCATTTTCTCTTTCTGATTTCTGAGATATATGCACTTCAGTATTTTTGCAACCATGGATGGTTTTTGTAAATTACTGTGAAATATGAATCTATTACCCAACATTTTGTTTTACATTCATAGTAAAAGCTATACTTCCAAATCATAACTTTTTATGGTGACATCAACCATAATATCACAACACTGTCTTATTGTTGCTAAAGTTTGATTTATAGTTGCTTTGAAAATTTAGTGAGATTTTAAATCTAACCATTCCTTAATGCATGTGGGTTTTGGGTTATACCTGTTATAATAATTAATGTGTCTAGGTATTAGTTTGGAGTTCTAGTCATTTATGGCTGCAATCTGACACATAGCCAAAATCACACTTACTATGCTTTTAAAAATATAGGGATATATTCAGATAATGAAAAGACTTGCAGCAGGGTATAAGGTGTTCCCATTCTAAGGACTATTGCAACTGTGAAAAGAGTTCTCTCTTCCTTGCTTTGGAGTCTAGCTAGTATTTTGCCAGATAATGATCATAACAATTTTCTTTTTTCTGTGTACATGAAAGATCACAGGGAATGAAGCATACACACAAAGTTAGCATAGGTTTTAGATCTCTGATCATAACAGTTTTTCCAGGCTCCTAAAATAGATAATCTCATCTGTTGTTTTACGCCATGCTTCCTGAAGTGTTTGTAGATTGTATAGTCTCATTAACCCCGAAGGGCAGAAAAAAAAATCAAAACATTTTTTTCCTTAGTGGATAATTTAAAAGTAACCTTGGCAATTCTTCTTAAAGAACTTTTACATTTAGAAAGAAGAAGTGTTCATAGGTATTTGGTGGTAGGCTAATGATTGCTGGTAGGCAACTGCATTAACACAGACATGGGGCGATGAGGGCTTGTCTTCAATGTGGTGATATGGAAGCCTGTGACAAGACACTTGAAAAAGCAATTCAAAGGAATGGTTAATTTTGACTCACAGTCTGAGGGGAGAAGACATGGCAATGAGAATGGCTGTATGGAGCATGAGAGGTATGGGATTAGGCATCTTGTTCATAGGAAGCAGAGAGAGAGGGAGAGATGAAAGCTGATGCTCAGTTCACTTTATCCTGTTTTCCTTTTTATTCAGTCCATGGGCCACCCACATCTGGGGTGTGTCCTTCTTAGTTGAACCTCAAAAGAAACATCTTCAGAACACAAATAGAAGTATGTCTCTATGTATAGTAATCCTAAATCCAGTCTGGTTGACAGTGCAGCTTAGCCGTCATAGTGGGCATTGGCTGCAGATGCTCTCTGAGAGAGCAAAACAGCACAGTGATAAGAGGTGGTTTTAGAAACTGGGTAGACCCAAGTAGAACCTCCCAAGTTATGCTACAGGGTTTAGTGTGCTTCTCTAATAAACGGTGGTTCATTTATTTACTTATTTTTAGTTTATTCTTTGGTTTTTTGAGACAGGGTTTCTCTGTGTAGCTTTGGAGCCTATCCTGGCACTCCCTCTGTAGACCAGGCTGGTCTCTAATTCACAGAGATCTGATGAATGCTGTTTCCATGGTAGAGCATACTAACATAGTGTAATTGAAAAGGTAACAGTGTACAAAGATGTTTTGTGTAGGTATAATAAGGGTGTCCTAGGTCTTACATCTCAGCGATGTATTGTGAAAAGACACATATATTCAAACTATAGAATATACCACTGTTGCTGGGAAAGATTTAATATGATATGATATTTGATATGACTTCTGGATTTCTGACTCTGTCATACATGCCTGATCTCCCAGGCCCAGCTTGAAATCTCCACTGAAGCTTCGTTATTCTGCAACATTTAACTCTGCATGCTGGAAATGCAAGTGTCACAGGGACACAGAGGTCTGTTGCTAACTGGAGTAGTAGCAAGCCTGACTCAGTCAACAGCTGCAGTGGACCATGATTGCCTTGATGGCTGAAACAGTTTCCTTAGGTGACCTTGTGCAAGGAGGGAACCTTGGACCTCTCTTTTCAAACAAAGTCTTTCAAATACGTTTGCTTTTTTTCATTGAGACTGTGATGGATGGACTTTTGTTTATTCATAAATGCCTGTAAGCCATCTTTCCTAATGTCTTGGTAAAATCTCTGTCTCTGTCTCTTTCTCTCTCTCTCTTTCTCTCTCTCTCTCTCTCTCTCTCTCTCTCTCTCTCTGTGTGTGTGTGCACGCGCGCGTGTCTCTCTCTCTCTGTGTGTGTGTGTGTGTGTGTGTGCACGCGCGCGCGCACGTGTGTCCCTGTCTCAGTCTGTATCTCTCTGTCCCCCCTTCTCTGTGTACATGCATACATATGTGTGAACATGCTTGTGGAGGTCAAAGGTCAAATTTAGTTACAATCCTTGGAAACCACCCAC